CAAGACTGTTTAAATGTGCTAAAGGTAAAATACAGCAAACTGTATTTTTTGTCCTTAAACTATCATAAAAAGTTACTTCAGAGTTTACTTAAATCACTGCTTAGTTTTCTTTTAAAAAGATAAAATAAAGAAAAAGAAATTGTCATTTGATAAACCAGAGACTATATGCAAGGGCAGTTTATCACAGAGTAATACATAAATCCTCTGGCCAGCAAGTAAGTGGTTAGTAAAGAAAGAAACCACATCTCCTGCAGCAGAAAACACTCTGTAAGGAACAGTGAGAATAAGATCTCACCAAAACCAAAAATAATCTTGCAGCGAGTGAATGTCATCCCTCTGCAGATGATGAGTATAAATGCTGTGGCCACAGCTTTCTCCCAGATAAGGAGCCCAAAGTTCTACACTGATCTCACTGTTGCTTTTACCCCATATCTAGGGGTAAATTACCACAATTTGTATTAACTTACAGTTTTGGAAAGCTCCCCAAGTTTTTGCAATAATTTTCATTGACATTTTTGTTTCCCTGTAGTACACACACGTAAAGAGGATGTAGTGCATAATCAAGTTGCCAGCCAAAATGTTTTCAGTTTAAAAGAGGTTCATTTTCAAATGCTGGTTAGCGTTTGCTGGATGTTGGAAGCCACAACATCTTACGTGTACACGCTCATGCAGTGTCCCGGCTTCCACAGATAAAGCCTTCTGGGAGAAAATTTGCTATTGCATTTCATAGACTGTACTGCCAAGTATGTTAGGTACCATACAACATACCATCTTTGAACTCATGAAGAAACATTTCCATTAGAAACTCTGCACCTTCATCTACTTGGTCTGTGCTTGTTTGTCAGTTGATACCTAGAAGAGTACCGCTGAAACCAGTGGCACTGAATTTCTGTCTTTGACAGTGCCTCAGGCCATATAAAGCAATACTGCAAACCAAACAGCCAAATTTAAAATGTTTTTTATGTCTAGCTTCTCTCAGGGCTCCAAAAGTAGAAGAAAAAAAAAATCAGACAAATGCATCTAGGTCAGTTTTGTTAGTCTTTGGGATGCTTTTGTTGGATTAAAGACCTGAGGCTGTTGACTATCTATGGCTAAAAGGGTAATCCAGAAAACACCCAAAAGTACTTGTAACACTTTGGAGGATAATCTTATCATTCTCTTTGAAAAGCATATTCAGGCATGTTCTCTCCACCCTTTTTAAAAAAAACCCAACAACATAAACCAGCACCGGTTTGCTCAGCCAAGAGAGCTCATAAAGGTGAAGAGCTCTTCTCATGGGATATGAAATGTGAATTATATTGGAAAATAAACTCTAGATTGTATTTGGCATTCCTAGACCATCTACCAGCAACAGATGTTCTGTCCTGAAAGTGATATAATTTTGACAGCAGTACAGCAACTCCTTAAACAAATTACTGAGTTATTGTCAAAGTAGTACAGATAATTTTTTTAGGAAAATCTATTTCACTCTTTAACCAATTAATTACAAATTTACATTCATTTTCTTCCAATTGTGAAATCAATGCTAAAGCTGATTTGTAGTGGGTTTTTAGTCTTTTCTGTAGAGTTCCTATATTGTTGCTGTCACTACAGTCACTGTTCTTACAGTTAGACTTCATTTTTAGGTAAGAGTGTTGAATGAAATCCCATCTCCATTACAGTCAAGAAATTCGTGGATGACTTCAGTGGGGCAGGAATTTTATCTCTGGAACCACTCTCATGCTGCCCCCTGCCCACAGGACGGTTAGAGGGACAGGGAGAAGAAACCTTGCGAGGTGGCAAGACCTCTTTGTTCAGCATCCTGTGGTCTCTGTGAACTTAATCCCTTCCACCTCAACTCTACACAACAGGTTTTGGAGGTAGGATTGTGAGAGCAGAGAAGAGCTGAGAACTGGACATACCTATTGATCTCATTCCTTGGGAAGGCTGTCGCAAGCTGCCTTCGTTCCTTTGCTTGGGATCTGCCCATGATTCTGCATTAGTGGGGAACCCGGTGGGTTTCTGATGCAAAGGAATTAAACTGTCGAAGAGCAGCATATGCCAGAGGGCAGCGCGGGGAGGGATGAGCACACCGAGAAAGACTTGATCTGACTGGAAAAATCAAGCTGTGGATTTTTAACAGATAATTCTGCATCATCTAGAGTATGAAACTCATCACAGAGAATTTGGATGAGGAGTTGGGCTTATGTTTTTATATAGAGACAGTCTACTGCCATATTTTTTCAGATAGGAATCACATTTTATTCATAGTGAAAAGCACTTGTCTTTAATATTTTTTTAAATGATGTTGTCAAAACCCAGTTTCATTCTCCAGGAAGAGCCTGGAGAATTTTCTCTGAAGCAGTATCAGGGGCATTCTGCATGCCAAATATTGGTGTTTTCAGAACTGGGACTGGGACAGGGCTGAAGAGATTGTACAGTTTATTTCTCTGAATTTGCTTCACAAAGGAAGGACAGGTCAATGTATGAGCAGGCATTATGTGACTTGTAAACCATGCCTAAATCAGTCTACCTGTTCCAAACTTATTTCTGGAGTCATGTGAAAGCTGCCTACTTACTTGACCATTTCCTGATGGAAGTATCAGCATTAAAGCTACTGGCTTGAATTCTGAACCTAACCGTATCCCCTGAAACTCCAGATGAGTTAATAGAGCTGCAGAAGGAAACAGATAAAAGAAATAGAATTTCCCCACAGGCTTTGGTGCATGTTGTCATAGGACCTTCACAAAACTCTTACAGAAGTCAACCAACTGAGGAAGAGGGATTAAAATTTTCTTCCAAATCTCCCCTGAAATTCTCGTTTCTGTGGAATCACATATGTACTTGGAAGAGGTTTTTTTTGTTGTGGGGCCAGTATCATCTAATTTCCTGAAAAATAGGGAGTTTATATCAAAACAGGTCATGAATAGGCACAACCTTGCAACATGCAGTGTTCAGGTGAGTCTGATAGCCTGGAGAAAAATCTAGTATTTGCATACATCAAGCCAAATTCAGTGTCTGATTTTAAACCATTTAAATACTGCAGAGCTCGGCTTATTATATGCATTTATGGAACTCCTTGCAGTAGCTCTGAACCCAGAAACTGTAAATCAGTTTGTTTTCATTCACATACAGAGCACAAAAGTTGCAAATTGCCTCAGGTCATTTTTTTACCAGCAGGTCCAACAGTGAGTAAAGGGAAATTAGGATGATACTGCAGATAACTGAGGTAATTGAAATGGCCAATTTGACAAGATTTTAAATTCAACTACTGGGAAATACATAGAGATGCCCCTTATCTGTGGGATGCAAGTACTGGCCTACAATAGAAACTGGGAAAAACCTGGGAGGTTGTCATTGCTCCGTGTGATTGGGCATTTAAGACGAGGCAATGGGACAAAAAAAAGGCACGTGACTTGCCTTGCACGTCACTGGGACGGGAGATAGGTGACTCAGTGTACTGCACTCCACTTCTTACCATATGATACCAACACACACTGGTCAAAAGTAGAGGAGAATAGTGCCAAAAAATGTGTTTTCCATTCTGTGTTCCAGCTCTACACAGATCTTTAATACATGAGATTGGATTGCTAGTTCTTTTTTATCAGTAGATGTATCATCTATAACTTGGATGCAACTCTACACAGAAACCCTGTGTTGACTTCTTATTTACAGTGAAATCCCAGCTCCCGCCATGCAGAAAACCAGCATCGCACTGGTACTCTTTTCAGCAGTGCAAAGGATTTATGCTAGCTCTCTGCAGAGAGGTCAATTTTTCTTATACCTCTACAATTCCTCTATTGCATCAGCCATAACATACTAGAAAAAGTGGACAGAACTTTGAATGAGAACCCTAATTACTAACTCAAAAAAGGCAGCTATGAATAAAAAAAATTACATGTGAAGTTCTGCACTGATGTTTTCCCAAGGAAACTCCACCATTCTACTGGGACATGGAAAAACAGACAGTACAACCCTCATTTTCCTGGCCAAACAGCTTGTATAGTAACAGCCGTGACCAAACCCAAGAAAATCAGAACAAGTAGAAGAATACTTCAATGCCACTCATCTTACACCAGTCCATTGATTATAGTTTGAGCTAGAGAGTCTATAGACTGATCTAGCCTGAAATTTGGTTACCTTGGTACACATTTGCAGCTAGAAACAAGTCTTCAGTGGCAAGCGCAGCAGCAAACAAGCATTGATTTGATATCTTGGGTTTCTAAGTTTAAGTAACAGAATTTTCCAAATCAACATTTTCCTTCATCATACCTTAACAGGCAGTTAAATTGCTCCTCCTAGGATATACAACAAACTTTTTTTTTTTAGGCTGAAGGACAGAATACATCATTACTGCTACAGTCCTGTAACACAGTTCTTTTTTGGAACTGATAGTGTTTTGTGAAAGAAACAAAGAAAGAAAGAAAGACTTGTTAATATTTTTCTCTTTGGGATTATAGTAGCAACTAAGAAATACTGCTTTTGGTGAATATAAGCCAGTCTTTTAAAAAGGACAGTGGCCTTCTCCACTTTGTCCTGTTCTCAGCAAATGTATGCTGAGATAGCCTAAAACATGCTCAGAGTTATAGCAATACATTTTTACTGTTTAGATGCTCATCAGTCACGAGAAGAGATGAAGATGAGTAAGAGTATTGCCTTTTTCAGAATTCTTCTAGCGTATGAAAAAAGACCTATACACAATTAATTTGTACACTGCTGCATAAACATAATCTCTTTCCGCTAGGTATAATGCACCTTTGGAACAAGCTGCACGTGACCAAAAATCCTGGGAGCTTTGGGATCCATTTCGGCCGTGTTACACATAGATCCGTGAGCAGCTCCATGCTGCATCCTTGCTTCTTGTGATCCCTCAACGGAGGAATCTATATCCATAATGCATTTTCTTAGCTGGTTGGTTACGAGTTCAGCACTCCTGCCACAGGCCTTTCAGGAAGGTCCCTTGTGTTTTTCATACCAAACTTGCATGTTTAAAATCTCATGTTTCTCTTGTCTTAGATCAATCATACAAACGGCGTCATCACTGCGGAGGAGTGACGCAGTCCCTGGATAGCTGCATAAGGACCCTGCTGAAAATAATGGTGGTACCTGGGCATGTGGAAGGAAGGGAAAGTGGGGCCACTACCTTGCATGGAGCTGGCTATAGCAGAGGGAGTAAGAGGCATTCCCAGGCGGCTGTATGGAGGCAGAGATCCTTGGATCGGATGAGGAATGGGTGTAGCTATGGATGCAGTGCTGGTACCCAGGGCACTCAAAGACTGTGGATGCTGAAATCCAGGAAAACTGGTTGAGGAGGATACCCAGGAACTGAGGGACAGGTTATCAGATGTTGTAAAAGCTGACCCTGCAAGCAAAGAGAAAGAATGCCTGACATTTGCACTGCAACACACAAAGCTGCTAAAATAGCAAAAAGGGAGAAAAAGTCTTTCACAGCAAGGCTAATTTTAATGACAAGTTGTCATTGGAAATACTTCCCAAATACCTCTACTTATATCTTTCTTTATATTATTATTTGCCTGTTGCTGTCCTTTATCACTGCATCTTAGACAAATTTGCATTTGAAGAAGCTGGTTGCAGTGTCTTGAACAGTAAAATCACCTTTGCACGTTGGACATTTTTGGTATTAAACACTAAAGAACCTTGCAATGCTGCCACTAAACACTGAAGCATCTACTCTGATGTGGAATCTCATTGCATTACATCCCTGTTTTGAAGACATGCTTGTAGCTTTTTACATCAGATCCTCAGTAGAACTGGTTATTTTTTTCTAAAATTTCAGTCTGACAAAAATGCAGAAAAATGTAATTTGCACTACAAATTTTCCTTTTTTTTTTTACCCCAGTAAAACTTGTCAACACTGCATATTTTCACTCAACTTGACTTTTTCCGAAATATAGAAAAAAAAATTCTAAAAATGTCAAAACATTTGTTATTTTTCCAACTGTGTACAGTGCTCTAAGAAACAACACTAATGCTAAGTCATAGCATGATTTAGCTATCAAGAGGTGTGGGGTTTTAAGTGAAAAGCACAAAAATATTAAAAACTTTCTCCCAGGGTAATTATCTACTTTTGATCAAATGAAGTGGTTTCTTTGGTATTTTTTTAATCTGAAAAGTTCCAAAAATTCTTTTCACAAATCTTCCACCTCTTTAGAATGCTTTTTCTCTGAAGACTGCAAAATCAGAAAAAAAGGAAAAGTGGTATCTTTAAATTAGAACTAATTACTTGTTTTATTTTGACAGTAAAATTTTTGGGAAACCAATGAATAATTTGTTTTGATAATTATACACGGTCATTTTCAAATAATCTGGTGACGATGTTCCCCTTCACCTCTGCAGTTCCTCTATGCATCTGGTCATCATCAGATGTCTGATTTCTAGAAATGGGGAATGCAATAAAATTGCATTTTTTGCAAAGTATTGCAAAACATTCTGAGAAAATGAATTTTACAACAGGTATTAGTTTCACAAATCTGATTCTAGAAGATAGGTTCATCCAAATTGTGAAAAGAAAAAATATGAAGACATCTATCTGTCAAGGTAAACATATTGGAATTACGTGTATTGTAGCCACATACTCAAAACAAAACTATGAGCAAACAACAATAGAAAGAAAAAATGCAAATTATTACTTAAAAAAAAAAATCTGTGAATCTCTTTAGGGATATATTCTCAAATCAGAAAGAGAGCTACTCTTGATTAATTCCTCCTCTGCTTAATGAAACGAGTAAAACGGCCCAGTAACAGGGAAGAGAAATTGTGTCAGTTCAGCAGTAGAAACGGACTTGAACCAAATCCTGACCCTGCCACTGAACCAAATCCTAACTGCTGGGAAGTTAGGATCGAGAGCCGAACTATAAGGATAACACCATACTCAGAGACCAGAGCAAACCCCTTTGCAGATCAGGGGATACCTGAGCATTATTGCACTACAGGGGAAGCGGGATGCGAATCTGGATGTGCCGAGACGGTTTACATTTGGCTCTGTTCCAGGTGGCTACCATGAGTCCTGTGTGCAGATGCTGGAGCACAGGCACCCAGACAGTATGCATTAAAGAGTTTTAATTGGATTTATATATTTCATATCTGTTAATTCCTTTGGAAACAGACTTCTTGTGATAAATATCCTACTGAAGGCTAGCCACTTCCATCTTTAGATGGATGGAATTGGCTGAGATGAGAATGCTCTGGATGTAATTAGAAATAAATAGCAGCGGTAGACTTTCTTTGTTCTACACAGAACAAAGTATGTGATTCCTTCTCATGAGGAACCTCCATAAGGGCCCTTTCCTCCTCCAGCTGCAATGGTCTCTAACTGCAACTTAGTACTCCAAAAAAGTCTCACATACCGCATTTGCCAGCACCAAGGAAATGTGCTGTAGTAATTCTGAGGCAGTCGAGGGCTCCGAGAGCTTATAACACACCCCACCCAGCAACGTGTTTGTATTTGGCTGTCAACTCTCATACATATGGAAGAACACTCCTCAATTTTGCATGCAAGGTAGTTTTCAAATGCATCAGAAGAAATAAAAATGTCTGTGGAGTTTCAGTAAGATTGTTATTTCTCTCCTCATATCTTGGAGAACTTTTCCTTATTTAAGGACACCAGACCTAAACAGAGAGTGAAGGCAGTACGAGGAACTCCTCTGCAAGAGCAGGATGTTTTACCCTCTGTGCATGCCTCTGGTTGCCCAGAACAATCATGTCCTACGTTAGAATATGGCTCCCAGATTAGAAAAATGTTGGTTGCCACAACTCATCATCTTCCTCACTTACTCATTTGCCATAGTGCAAGCAAATGCAGAACTGTACCCTGTATATATTATACATAAAATTGATTTTAATAAACCATTCCTTCATCCTCTGACACCTTCCTCGGGATTCTCTTCAGAAGAGAAAGGCTCTAAAGGCCAGTTCTCATACTGAGGTTCACCTCGTTCACTTTGTCACTCCCAAAGGAGGACATCATACCAGGGAGAAATGTAATTCTTGGCGAGAAGGTGCCTTGCTCTGAGCACTTCTGGCAAGGGAAAATTTAACACTGTCTTCAACAATAACTGGCCTAGGATCTAAGCTGACGTGAAGCGAGGTAATCCCCCAGAAGTATGTGAAAGGATGGCACTGTACCAGCTGAGGAGTTGCTCCAGAAACTCCGCAATCTAAGGAACTGCTCTTGGAATAGACGTGTATGAACAAGCCCACCTAATCACATTTTGTTGAAGAGCGACTCGTGGTTAAAAATAAGTGTGTTTTCCCTGCACAAGTCCTAAGAGCTTATGATCAGAAATAATGCTCTTATCTTAGCAACACTGTATGAAGTTAGAGGACAAGACAAGGGCACTGCCAGTCGGAAGGCAGATAGAACTGCTTTACCTCGAGTGGCTGTTGCATATCAGGCAGGTCACAAAGGCAACATGCAAAATAGAATGCAACACAAGTTCATGCTAGTCAGTGATCCCACAGGATGGGTTTGAAGTCTACTTCCAGTGGCAAATTATGACAGATGCAATTTGTCCAGCGAGTACCCCCACAAAGAACAACTCTGCCTTGCTACTACTTTTGCGACTGCTAAAGTAGACACACCATTTGATAAAAAAATTGAGGTGAATTGCCTCAGCAGACCTTTTAGAGGCCAAGAGATAGCAACTAAACATCAATCTTCCAGGGAGCTATGGACTTTTCTTCCTGCAGAGGCAAAGCAGGTTAACCACAGGCTGGTTGAACCAGAAGGCTGGAGGGGCTGCAAATGGCACATCTACACGGTACTTTACAAACGGTGCTGAGCCCTAGCTAGTAAGTCCTGCCAAGGAATAGGGAGTGTTAGCTTGTTCTCAGCACCACGGTAATGAAGTTGCCTGGTTTTCAGCCATCTTGAAGAGGAAGCAGAGATAGTTCTCTTCTGCTGGCAAAGGCTGTATAAGCATCTCTAGAGCTGCCTCCTAAACTAGCCACCCACACCAGTTCCATGGGCATATCAGATGTCCAAAAAGAGCCATAAGGTAACAAGTATTCTTCTTCATTATGGGACTTCATGGCAGAGACACACACCACAGAAATGCTTCAGAGTAACACAGTACTGACTGCGGTCCCCCTTTTCTCAAGCATAACTAGATCGCCACAGTTTACTTCATGAGTGCATTTTCCTACCTCTGCTTTGTGTTGCCTGGCTGTCATCTCCGAGATCATCTTCTCCTCCATATGTTCGAATGGGGGATCGGGCATAGGAATGCTTTTGGATAAGGCTCTCCACGCTTTCTCTGTGAAAGGAAACAACATACCATATCAATAACATCCTAAACAGCCTCCTAATTCATTAGGCTAAATACAATGAACGTGCTGCCTTTTCCCTGTCCAGATCACAGCTTTCTCACACAGACTCTCCAAAATTACTTAACAAAAGGGTTTCCTCATAGCATGTCACTGGAAATGCCGAACTTGGCCTGTGGTGTAACATTGCTGATCACCGCTTACCTGCGTGGTACTGCTTCTTCAGCAGACAAAGCAGAGTGAACTTCCCACTGCGTTCCCTGGGTGTGGTCTCAGGGAATATAAGACCAACACTCCTCACAAATTTGAAAACGCAAGCTCTGGGGTTATTCGTGCTGAGTGACCAATCTGGGTTCAAAGAGACACCCGTGGTCCAGCTCCTTTCAAACAAGCTTTCACATCACACCTGACCACCTCATCTGGCGCCCTCCCATTTTTCTGAAATCAGGGGCAAAAGATAGGTGTGTCCAGAGACAGCTCAGCTCTAACCATGCTCTCTCAGCATCAGAGTCGAGGCCAGTTCATAGCAGGAAGTCTACAGATACTACCGACCTCATGCCATGTCTATTCTGGGAGGTTAGACGTGTCTGCCAGGCCCCCGCCGGTGGCACAAAGCACTGAAGTCACCCCAGCAATTTTTAAATAGAAGGAAGGCATATCTGCGTGATAAGCCATAGCAGTTTGTAAGGAAGATCCAACCTTACACGTTCCCGGCGCGTTTCCGTGTAAGTAGGTGGCATTATACCAAAGATGAATACGACCTAGGCACATTTCCAAAATGGCTTTGACCTTCTGTTCCCGTTTAAGAAATCTAGGTAGCGATAGCTGTTTAAACCTGCTGCTTGGTGAAAGTTTTGTCTGAATTTACTATTTGGCCATTCATACTTGCTAATGTCCTTCGCTTGGAGAGCGTGGCTGTTGCAGAAATTCCAAGGAAAAACATTTTCCAAGTAACAAGATAAATCACAATGGCACATGTTTTCCTTTCCTACAGAAAGCCCATTATGGTCATTTTGTCCTTGGTCTATCACTGGCATCATTACTTATGCTAGTCTCCTCAGAAAAAAAATAAATAAAAAGGGGATCTTATCAAAGTGATTTACTTGTGTCAGGATTGGAAGTGGACTGAAAGCAATGGCGCTTCCTACATAGAGGATGATATAATTGAATTACTGCCTTTTAAGTGATTGAAAACAGTAGGCATATCAGGGCTATCTCGAAGAAGATTTTACAAAGAAAAAGACAGATGGCATTGTTTACATTATGTGCTGAATGCCTCTTGAAACTTTTTTTTTCTGAAGCAGAATTTGAAATGCAAAGAATTTTACTTAACCAAAAAGACTATTCCAGATGAGTACAAAATAACAAAATAATGAATTAGACCAGTGATGTCTGAGTGATTTAGATACCAGTCTATAAATATATTCATAACCAAAGAATTACTAATCTTTAAAGGTCTGAAAAATAAATGTGATTCAGGTGATTGTCTGTATTGTCTCTATTGACTTTATTTCTAGTAAAGGTCTGCTTATAACGACAGACATTACAGCATGTAATAATATCCTGATGCAACAGAAACAATGCAGGCTCTAGTTTTAGTGCAGTGGGCCAGAATCATCTCTAAAATATTGTATCCAATAGCGGTTTGGGGATAAACTCACCCCAATAAATTTACATTTGAATTACCTACAGGGATTTAAAGCTAAATCAAATGCCCACAATTATTGCAGACTAAATTCTTTCCAGATGGGTTTGTATGCTAGACAGAGAACTCTATTATTCTATTCAGTTGTCTTCTTTTAAAGGAAAAAAGAGAGATGACTTCTTAGTGAACCCTGAATCTGCAAAGTTTGAAACCAGGGAACTATGTGGTAGTTTTATTTATTTATTTTTAATGTTGTAATGTTGCAGGTAGTATGCTAAAGGTTTTAGAAGATTAATCTCATTCATTGGCACAAGAAGCAAAGGTTTTTATGGCAGAGGGAACAGTCTAACGAAGAAACTTGGATCAGGGAAAGCAGCTAATTTCACAAAAGCAGTTCCTTTTGTGCAGCTGGGATTTAATATTCAGAACTGTATATGCTTATCTTGCCTAACCATGTTGGTGGTTTACACTGCAATCACAAAACACCTACTAATTTTTCATTTTAGAGGTTGAGGCTCTGATTCACATCATAAACGCAAAGCGTTGAGATTCACACCAGAATTTGGGCACCTGTCCCCCACAGCCTTCAGGTGGACACTCTTCTTTCCACATACAACACATGCTGCATATAAACCTCCAAACAGACCTACGAAATGCAAAAGGCTGAGCAGGAAACCACTTAAGCATGCAAAAGGAAACAAAGAAAAACAAGAAATGGTGTATTTTCTCCACTCATGAAGCATATCTCTGAGTTATCCCACCAAGCACTGTTTCTTCCACCTAGAAAAACAAGAGCTGAAGTCTGCACTCAGGTCTCCCCCATCCTGAACAAGTGACCTAAGTTAAGGGATAATCTTTCCTTCCCTTTGCGTTTCAAAGGAAAGGGGTGGCGGCCTCTGCACCATGCTCAAATATTTAATGCTCAGAGAACACCACCTGGAGATCAAGTCTTCTTGGAGAAGAAAGGGGATGCGACTTTTCTAATCTATGGAAACGTGTGGAGTTTCCCACGTAGGTTGGAAAGAGGAGGCCAACCTCCTCCACCCTTTAAAGACAGAGGTGCTTTAGGACTTTCTCCAAAGTAGATGTGTAAGAGGAAGCAAAACTTTAACAATAAGATTTAAGTGCCTGTGAAATCTAGTTCAAAATGCAGGATCAAAGCTGGCGAGCTGGAAACAGGTTCCTGCTTATACCCTTTTGTCAACCGGGGCCGAAAGCACTCATCTCAAAATCTTCCTGAAAATTCTGTTTATGGAAGTGTGAACTGTTTAAGAGATCCAGAATATGCTGCTCTGTAGAGTGGACCAGTGAAATAAATTTTTTAAAGTCCCAAAATATTATAATAATACTGAGAGGGAAAGACATTAATTTAAACCTCTGGCTTTATAGTTCTGTATGCAACATCTTCAGATATCTCAATGTGGTTCAAAGGATTTATAGAAATAATTTTATAAATCACTGAATGACAAATCAATATTTGCCATTTCATGATTCTGCTCAATAAAAAAAATTAGAAAGTGAAGAGTATGGTGGAGCTGTTTTAAAGCTTTCCTTTAGCTTTTTTCAGAGCTGATCCACACTAAACTGGCTGAAGAACAAAGTAACTTCCAGTTACTCAATGCTTAACTTCTGTACTTCTGTTACTCAGTTTCTGATCAGACACTTATTATCTAATACTTGGACCTAACAATTTTTATCTTTTCATGTATCTTAGAACTCCACAGTTTCTTCTATTAGCAATAAACTTTGTTTTGAGAGATCACAAGCTGCCAGCTGGATAAAGGAAAGATGTCTTCTTTCTGTCAAATTCTTTTGTGTGGTCTACCAACAATTTTCAGTCTTCCAGACTGCTCTTCCACTCACAGATACCTTGTAAATACCCAGAGGAGGGGAAAAACACACACATAGGCCTAATATATTACTATGATTAAGCTGTGCTATGTGTACAACTGGATAATAGTAGCAGATGACGGGCTGGAGAAGAGCAAGTTAGGGGGCTGAAGCTGTTTGAGAATCAATCATAGAATCATTAAGGTTGGAAGAGACCTCCAAGATCATCAAGTCCAACCATCAACCCAACAACACCATGCCCACTAAACCATGTCCCTAAGCGCCTCATCTACCCGTCTTTTAAATACTTCCAGGGATGGTGACTCAACCACTTCCCTGGGCAGCCTGTTCCAATGTTTAACCACTCTTTCAGTAAAGAAATTAGAAGAAGGAACCATGTGCCAAATGAAGAGGAAAAACTAAGCTCGTATTGGCTAGCACGCCTACAGAGAAGATGCTGAGCAGGACAAATGTGAGGAGAGGTAATATGGAAAAGGAGCTCAGGCTGATCCTGATGATCTGCATTCTGACAGAAGCACACCTTGAGCCCAGCCCTATGTTTATTGACATAAACCTCTCCTTGTTATGAGCGAAGCACTTCCCTCCTTTGTGCAAGAAATAAAACAGTGAATTTTGAACCAGGAATCAAAGGAAGCGAAGGGTTGGGAGAATTTATCAATTAGCAAGGTTTTAGGGTGCACAGGGAGCATCTTGCCATTCTGCAGGTTTTAACTTCTTGTCTGAACGTTTCACTCTTGTCCTTGCTGGCAACTGATTCCAAAACTAAACTTCCAGCTAGGTATGCTTTATGTCTTGCAGCTACAAGCTGAGTCTTTGGCCTTGTTTAGTTAACAGTGCCCTGTACGTGCAGAGTAGTCTCAGGGGATCAAAAGTAGGTAGGAAAATCCTGATGGAGCTGACAAATGATTCACTAACGCTTTACAGACTAAACCCAAGATCTTGCCAAGGATATGAACTGGGAGATGGTAGAAAACAGAGCTGACTTGGGAAGCAGCTGAGGAGCGAGGCCCTGCGTGAGGATGCTCACTTCCTTTTGCTGTCAACCCAGATTACAGAAATTCTCTCGGGAGATGGTAAAGTCCCAGATTACCCTGAGCAGGATCTTTAATCAAGATGAAAGAACAGTGCTTCTTTGTAGGTCAAAGCAGACATCTCTTTGATGCTTCTTCGTGTCATTTTTTCTGCTCCTTTTGCTGTTACTCTGCTTCAGCTGTGCATTCACAGCAGCCTGGTGATCACCATGACCCTGATTCTGAAGCACATGACCACGGCCCTGCTGATATGGAAGAGGGTTCACCTGGCCACAATGCACTGTCAGCATTGATGCTGCTACATGCCTGCATGAACCTGAAGCTATGGATTTTCCTGAATTTGGCAGAGAGCACACCCAGGGGATGGAGACAGGAAGCCTACCTTCTCCCTTTGGAATGAGGAGGCTTGAGGCAATATATTTGGTTTTGGCAGAAGGTGTTAGAAAAGCTAATCTAGAACCAG